GCGACAACGGCCCGCGACAGGGAGGCCCTTGCGCGCCTGTCGTTTTGTGAAAATGGCCTTGAGCTAATACCGAATCAAGACGCAGTCCACAACACTATTCCTACAGTCTAGACTTAAGCAATCTAACCCTCGGAACATTCTATCTTCACAACAACCAGGTCCTCGGGCACACCCCGCGTGCACTACCACGACGGCGATGGCACTAGGCCGCCACGCCGGCCTTCCTAGCCTCTTCCTGCCCCTGCTAGCGAGCCAAACAGCACCCTCATCCCAAGCGCCTACCCTAGCCAAAGTTACAGGGGCGGTGGAGCTCACGGGAGCGGTGGCCACGGCGCGTGGCCAAGCGTGGCGGTGACGCGACCACGTTGGCCACCAAAAACCACCATGGGACGAGATAGCTAGCTCTAAAGCACCCCTAGCATACCCTTGTTGCTGCTGTGGTGGTGATTTGGCCAGGAAATTCCCGAACCGAGCTAACCACGTGTGATGGTGGGATATGGCGGCACTCTATAGTGACACTGTCGCATCAGCGACGAAGGCAGGCCGATAGTGGCTGGGCTGAGGTGCATGGGGGCTAGAGGGGATCAAGGCAAACACACAGTGCTAAGGAATTGGATGGAGGTGGACAGTGCGAGGCAAATTGTGAGGGTGCCGCTATTCGGTCCAAAGGATGACCGACGATGGGGAATCTTCAAATTAGGGCTCGACATGGTACGACAAAAGCAGTGGGCGATCTTGGCGGGTAGCTAGGTTCTCACTCGAGTCATAGGCGAGCGCAATTACTCTAGAAGCGACCCAGCGCTGTGAGCTGGCTCAGGCGCGGCTCGGTGACGCCGGCGTGATGCCATTTAAGGCGGAGGTGACTGGGGGCGCAGCGTGGCGCTTGCTACTAAATGGAAGAGGAACAAGATGCCATGGGGAACAGCTGCACATGTGGGCAGATCAAGGATGGTAGAGGCAGTGGCACGACACACAGCAGGGGCTATGTCGCCTCAGTGGGACACGAACGCCAGGTAGAGCAGTGGCACATGGGGGTGCCGCGCGCCTGCGCGCATAGTGCGCTCGACGTGATGATGCGGCATAGAGGAACATGCGCGTGTTGTGGCAAGATGACGACAGCGCGAGGCAGCATGGTGATGAGACGACAGCGGCTGTGGCGTGGCGGTGCGGGCAGAGGCCATGTCCCGGCCACAGCAGTCCAAGTGCGGCCACATGCACAATAGCCCCATGTAGGCGAACACAAGGTGGCAGAGCCGCGTAGCACGACGACCAAAATGGGCCGCAGTAGTGCGGTAGCGGGTGGCAGTGGCCAGTAGCGCGGCGCCAGCAGTGCAGCCGGCTCGCGGCGGCTAGAGGCAGGCCTGGCCAGCCAGATGAGATAGGGCAGCAGTGGCCAGGGCCTGCGCGGCGGTGTGCGTGCGCATCGGGCAAACCAGCGCTGCGGCGCTGAGCCAAGGCATGGTGACCGCGCCGAGTCGCTGACACCGGCCAGAAACGTGCCATGCATGATTTTTAAAGCGCCCCAAAAATCAAATTCGTTACTTCAAATACCGAACCACCTATTCTATACTCAAGAGGGAATGTTAGGCTACTAAAACAAACCCTAATACCCCATCACTCCTTAACCCGATTCTTCTACAAAAATTGCCAAACTTGGCCTTGTCAAACCATTTTACGACTTAAGAGATTTGGTTAAGTCTTGCTCGGATTCGCGTCAACTTCGATTTCGAAGCTATTAGGTATGCTAGCTAGTGAATTCCTTTCTCGATCGAAGGTATTTCATCGCCATCTACAAAGTTCATACTTCCAACTTTACTAAAGTTCCGTATATACGTTCTATAGTGTTTTTGCTCAATAAAAATTCATGATCATCGTTACTTGATAATTTCATGCGTCACGAACAAATTTTTGTTATGCATTTCCGTAGGTCCTTTTAAGTTACGTAAATTGATTTACACACTATATTACATACACTATCACATAACCATGATGCTCATGACATGTTTTAGCAAAAGTTTTTCAGTGTAACACCGAGGGTGTTACACAAACCTCCTGGGGCTACCACACAAGTTGGCAAGCTCCACGGGTGAAGCTCTAGCCGGCTAGGAGCCAAGTTCCAAGAGTAACAAACACAACCACCGACTAAAATGTGAACCAAGTGCTCTTTAGAATTTGGGAATCAATGGAGTTGCTCTCTAATCAAGTTTTGGACCCATTTTCCCTCAAGGATTGATGGGGAAATCAATGGATTTACTTGGGGGTTTTAGGTCAACAATGGAGTGAGAGAGAGAGAGATCCTACTCTGTTTTGGGCGTGCTGGAGTGAGGAAGAAGAGAGCTGGTTGATTTCCATTGGAAAGGAAGGGGAAAGGTATATATACCCTCCAGCCCCTAACGGTCACTTTAAATCGCTGATAGCCATTGGCTAGGAAAGGGAAATGTATATATACCCCAACCCTCAATGGACACCGCACCCAAGGGGTCGGGCGAGAGGAAGCCCATGGCCTCAAGGTTGGGCGAGACGGAGCCCGCGACCTCAGGGTCGGGCGAGCCAGATCCCGCGACCAAGGGGTTGGGCGAGCCAGATCCCGCACCCAAGGGGTTGGGTGAGGTGGATCCCGCGACCCTAGGGTCGGGCGAGGTGGATCCAGCGACTAAGGGGTCGGGCGAGGCGGATCCCGCACCCAAGGGGTCGGGCGAGGCGGTTCCCGCACCCAAGGGGTCGGGCGAGACGAAGCTCGCACCACGCAAGACAGCAAGGGTAATAGTGAAGTGCAGACTATCTTGGCTATAAATCTGAAAATGTTTGTTGTTGTTTGAGCACTTGGTAGCACATATTGGCTTAAGCATTGTGTCCTCCTTTATAGTACGACTTTTCCTATACTCAAATTTAAGATATAAAAGAAGCTTAAACCTCTTTCGAATTTGAAGCCATCTATATTTGTAATTGGGGGCTCCTCCATTTCATGTAGCATCCTCGAATATAAATTCCCTGCTTGTCATCTTGATAAATCTCATTAGTTCTCTAATTGCATGGTCATTGTCACCAAAACCCACAATTAAGGCTTGATTGCACTTTCAGTTATTCTATCCCCATGAGCTCCAAAAGAATGGAGAAATTGAAAGTCAAAGCGCATTTCGTAAACTAAGTCATGTGATAATCTAGCAGATTTATTTCCCATTTTGCAAACTAAGTCATGTGATAATCTAGCAAATTTATTCATAAAATCTCTACCATACTTCGCATTTCGTAAATGTGTTGAGGGTATTGGTATGAGAAGGCTTAGAGACCTGCAAGAATCAGGGGGGGAATCCCTATAAAATATAACCTGTTTCAAACATCACATTACACTCTTTTTCCTTTATATGAGTTTTTACTCTTCTGGAGTTTTCTCGTATAAAGTTTTAAATGAGGTAATGTTAACACATAGTAAATGTCATATTATCTATTTTTCCTCACATAGTTTTTTCGAAGATAATATTTATGACATATTGATCTTTGATCAAATTGTTTTTAGACTATGTCTTCGAGGACACCTAAAGGGTCTACTAACATTGGAGTTATATATATCATGGTGTTTCTCCTTATTTTTTCCCACTGGGTTTTAAGGAGTTTTATCTGGTATATCGGCATACTTTGGTTTTTTCCCACAAGGTTTTCCAAAGCTTCAAGACGATGACTGATGAACAAATAACGGTGTCTACAAGGGATCAATTGATCAAGGGGGAGTGTTGAGATTAATTAATTAGGATTAATTATTTAGTGATCAAATTGTTAATCTCGTCATTAACAACTGCTAATGACGGTTCCCTGTAGACATAATAGATAGGCACCTTTTCACACTGCTGACAAGGCAACTGCCTTTGTATATATACACTATTGTTCATCAATAGAAACATACATCGGTCATTTGCACCAACCACTTTTCATCTAACAATTATTATGGGGCTGCTTTGTCTCCTTGGTTCCTTTGCCTGGACCCTTTTTGTTCTTAGAAATGGAAAAGAAAAATCTTTTGACCCTCATCAACTATTTAAAAACTCTGATTTTTCCTCTCTTTATATAAAACTGGATTTTTGGCCTCTCGGCTTTTAAAACCGTTTGTTTTTACACCTGTGGACTAGGGTAAATCATACTACAAATAATCCAAATATTTGTTTATTGGAAGAAAAACCTGAAACTCGATTGAAAGGGAACAAGTGTATCCTGAGAGGTTACTTATCTCCAATGTTAGTTTATGAGTTTACTAAAATTATATGTATATATCATGTAATATGTATTACGTAAAAGTTTGGAGCGATGGTGTAAATTTTACGGCTTGTGCCATACAATGTTTTTACTCTCAAAATAGAGTTCAAACCTTAGGAGCTACAAGCTTAAAGATGGCTTAGCTTCCACATGAGTGCCGAACAAGCAAGTGCAAAGTCACATAGCTGCAACACTGAAATTATAACAGTGCTTCCAGTTTTATAGTTCATAAAACGCACACAAGCATAAAGCTGGCTCAGAACATGAAAAATGTGATGAATGCTAATACAAAGCATAAAGTCATCATACTCCATTTACATAATTAGGCACACCCTGGTTTCAATAGTTATAGATAGATCTCTAAGAAAACCAGTAGCAAATCCTTACAACAGAAATCATTGACCATCACAACACAAAGAGAACATAGTGGGTTACAAATTACAAAGCTTAAAGTCGTCATACTCCAATTACATAATTAGACGTACCCAGGTTCCAACAGTATAGATCTCTAAGAAAAAAACAAGTGGCAAATACTTACAGCGGAAATCATTGACCATTACATCACAAAGAAAACATACTGGGAATAACCCATATAGGTTGCACCATGCTACCGCTACATAGGAAAATAAAGACATCAGGCCTGGTGGCATCATCTCCATGCAGTGGTTTGCCCAACTTGAATGCAACCAAATGGCCAGAAACATAATCATAGCAGTATACACAGTTGCTCCTCCCTCCCCACCTCTCTGGGTTCAGGCATGATAGTGGCTTCTCTGGTCGTTGCTGATGAATATTGCCCAGTTCTCCAACCTCTCCACCTTCACCCACTTTGCAGGCTCAGTCGAATTGTCAAGACGGTAAGCTTCAAATACATCCCTTGTTCCTAGGTAATCACTCTGGCAGCCAACCATGAGAAGCATGTCGCTGCACACCACGAGCCAAGGGTTCCTGAGATGCCATTTGGTCATGCTATTTCTTCCACCCAGAAACTACGATTTTTATAAGCGGATCTGAGGAGTCAAGTGCACCATGAACAGCCAGTGATCAGAACCCATGCCAAAGACCTGGTCCTTGACGACTACAAATTGGGTGAGTGTTCCATTGTGAGGAGAGCGTTTCAACCAAGAGTTACTACCAACATGCCAAAAGAAGTTGGAGGACCCAGTGGAGACAATGAGATATGAATTGGGAGATGATAGAGGACCTGGGAGGGTAGCACCATAGTAGATCTCAGTGTATTCATCAACTGGAAGTAGTGGAGGTGAAACATCAATACCGGTGAACACATCAAAGAGAAAACATGTTCTGTTGCTGGAGAAGATCATATGACCAAAGGATGCACCCCTAAATGCAAACTTATCCAAAGCACCTGGTGACGGTTATTTCCATAACTGATAGAAAGCAGAGGAATCTGAGAACAAAGTGAAGTATCTTGGTTGGCTACATCAGTGACATAACATAGGCGTTTGGGTAGAGAGGTGTTTCTGGCAACATTTGGAAAAGGGCGAGGGGAGCAGAATGGGACATTAGGATCAAGGAGAAGAGGCGGAAATAATGTGTACAAGGTAGATTTGGATGAGTAAGAGATGAAAGCAGAGCGCCAGGGGTGGCAGGTGGCTGCAAAGGCAAGAAGGTCAGGGAATGAGTCCAACAGTGCAACGATGGAGTGCAGCAGGCCATCTAGGAGGCCTGCCCAATCTCGAAGCTCAGACATAACTTTTATAGGTGAAAGCAGCTTCTCTGTGACAGATTGTAAACCCAAAGCAATTGTTAGCAGATTGAACTTGATAGAATAAAGGAAACAAAGCTGATAATTTATACGGAACATGGCTAGCACATATGATTTCTCATAACGTCAATTGTAAGCATAAGAATGCAGCTGAACAGAATATGCGAAACAATACTAGCCGCAAAATAGTGATTCACGTTATGCCCATGGTTGGATTATATGGATATTTCTGGTTTTGCCAAGATAATGCATACCAATGTGTCCAACCTTCTTGCAATATGAAGTCTTTCGAGCACTGTACCTTCGATAGTAATTTCAAAGAGCTAGATAAGGATAATAATAACCTACTATGATTTATCATCACTAGTCTATTATTAAAGAAATATAACTAAAACAATGATGTCCTACAATTTAATGGATAAAAGCTAAGCTAACACTATTGGGGATACAGTAGCCATTTTAGATCCGTTCAGCCAACAAAAATGATATGCTTGTCCCGAATTTAATGGATAAGCTTTTCAGTCCAGATCAGAGATAGTTTGATCCACAAAATATCAACTGCTGCAATCACCATAAGATGCCCTTATAAAAAAACTGAATGGTATTCCTCTGCACGGTTAATGGGGGCTAGTGAGGCCCTTCCCTTCATACAGCAGTGAAGTAAGAATACCTACAAAGATTTAATAAATATACTTCTAGTTCGTTCAAGATTTCAATACTTGCAAGAACCAACCAAGGCAGACGTTCTTGCAAGGGGGAATCCACACAACACAATGGAGGCAGAGGCGAGGGGGGAGAGGGTACAGTTTGATGAGCAATGAGCGTACATGCCTGACCCGCAGACCGTGAGCAGTAGATGGCGATGGCGGTGCAGTGGCGAGAACCTCCTATGGCAGTCCGACGCCGCCTTCGAGCCGGCCGGATGACCGATTCCACACTCTGGAACTGGAAGCTTCCATGCGTTTGGGCTACCTATATAGATGGGCTTGGGCTTGGGCTTAGCTAGGCGCCTCTGGGGCCGTATGATTTGAGTATGAAACGACTTCATAATTTGAGAGCTGCTAGTGTTTCTTCTCAAAGATTGGATTTCCGCTTCGTATTAAATTTTTACAAGAAGCACAAAACTCCTTTTTTTCCTCATGGCAAAACGGATTGCATTGCACAGTACAAGAAGCACAAGACAATCACAAGATGCCTGCATAGAAGCGATTGCATCTCCACATTTTGTAGGGACAGAGGAAACTACTCATTCAAATTCAAATGACATTAATGGGTTTCAGCCTTCCAGGCTATCCAGCAGACCAGCACACACCTAACAAGTTTAGAACTACAGTGCAAAAGATCAAAGGTACTCCTTCAATCCCAAATTATAATTCGTTCCAATAATTTTGGAGAGTCAAAGCATCTCAAGTTTGACCAAATTTATATGATAAAATAATAACATTTATGATGTGAACTAAGTATCATTAGATTCCTCATTATTAATTATATTTTTATAGTATATCTATTTATTGTCATAAATCTTCATAATTTTCTCTATAATTTTGGTCAAACTTGAGATGCTTTGACTCTCTAAGATTCTTGAAATGACTTATAATTTAAAATAGAAGGAGTATGAGCTAAACACAGGGTTCCTAAGATGCTATTTGATCATGCTATTTCTTCCACCCCATGAAGATGGCGCCGCCAGCGGAGAGGGCCTCCTCGGGCAGTCCAGCGCCGCCGCCTTCGAGCTCGATGACTCGTCTCTGCACTGCTGTGTTTCCACTCTGGAAGCTCCTTGAGTTTTTCTTTTAAATAATATTATTTTAATAAATAATTACAGATCTAGGTGTTACTTTTATAAAATTACAAAACTAGTATCACAGGCAAAATTTACACTGCAGTTCCTATCGGCAATCAGATAGCCGATTAAATGGCTATCGGCAGTGTAGAAGACCGACTGCATCCACACCCAGCCACTTCCTTCTTATGTTTTGTTTTGTTGATCACGTTTCTTTACTATTTAAGATTTCTATATTATTTCAACCTACCTAAAAAAATATTGTAAATTTCTAAGTAGATGCTAAAAATCAAACATATGCTATTTTGTTTGCATCTAGCATCAATTTTTTCGAAGGGAGAAGAAATTATATTAAAACTCAACATAGTACATCCCAAAAAAAATCTAAAATAAAAAGGTATAATATTCTATCCAGATTCTTCATTCCGTCTTAGGTTTTTTTCGCTCATTTTTTTTCAAGCTCGTCTACTTAACTTTTTTTTTGCGAAGGGAAGAGGGACTTATATTAAATCTTGGTACAATACATCCCAAATTACACATGAAAAATCTTAAATAAAAAATACATAATATTCTATCGAGATTCTTCCATCGTCTTCTTTCCTAATGGCTTCCCTCGAATGCCTGCAATGGCGATCTCGTCGTGGCAATGACCGAAGTCATCGCAGGATAGCGACCCCGACAAAAAATCATCTGATTTCGCTCAAAATTTATTTGGACTCCTAAAACACTAGAAAACTTTGGGAAAAGGATGGGTCCCCTCCCCTTCTTGTCTCCGGCAGATGCACCGGAGAGGAAGAAGGAGAGGGGCCTTAGGCGTGACGGCGGTGGCGGCGGCGGAGCGAGGAGGTGGCAAGGGCTCTACCCTAGATCGTCTACTTAACTTTTTCCCATCTGGTTGCTGGTTGCCTAATTTGTTTTTTTAATTTCTGATGAGTACCTCTGATTTCTTATGTTTTTTCATATAAACTTAAAAGAATAATAAATAAATAAATATAAAATTATAAAATTTAAACTTTTGATCCCCTAATAAGAAACAAGGATTCCAACCTAAAATGTAAAAAAAATAAAAAAGAGCAGCAAAAGGAAGAATGAGTACAAAACGGATGCAACACGTAAAAGAATATGAAAATAAAACAAATAAACTAATTTTCCTAACTAACTAACTAACTAACTAGAGTCTACATCTTCTAACTATGTAGATACCTACGTATCAAAATATGTAACCTAAAATATGTACTATTTTTTTTTATCTAAATCAGTAAAAAGCTATCATATAGAAAAAGGAAAAAAAACAAGAGAGTGGTTGCTCCATGGTGATGAGGCCAGGTCCAGTCGGCCTCTCACATGCCGATATGTGGGATCCTATCGGCCGCTGGTCAGCCGATTAGTTTCCTGTTGGCTTTTGGAAAGCCGATTGGCTTCTTAAATCTATAATTTTACTATTACAACTTCTATATCTACAATTAAATATAATAATAATATTATTTTAGAAAAAAAAAATCAAAGCTGCTCCTGTCTCACGTCATGTGGGGGGGAGCAAAACAAGTCGATGGTTAACTGGATGGGCCTAGGCTTTAAATGAGTTGGGTTCAACATCATGGGCCATGTGAACTGATTAGGTTTGATTTCTCAACAAAAAAGAATATGATTTTTTTTAAAAAACAAAAAATAGAAAAAGAATATGGAGTGATTTTAAAAGCTACCATCTGTCCGCCTCTGATCCAAGAAGTATGTAATTTTAGTTTTGTTAAGTAAAATTGATTTAAATTTAACCAAGTTCATAGAAATTACATCAACATTAACTAACAACACCAAATCAGTTTTCATTAAACCTACCATGAAATATGTTTTCGATAGTGCACTTATTTCGTATTGTATAGATGCTAACATATTTTGGTTTAAGAGGTTTGATTTAGAAAAAAAATATTAAAACGACCAATATTTTGAACAGAGGGAGTAATTCTTTTTCAATTCATCTTCTGACGTTTGTTTTGCTTGGGTAACCAAGACCCTGTCAAAATCCAGGCCCCCAAAATCTATCATAGACAAAGCGGTTGAAGACAAAACTTGTACACATTTGGATTTCTGCTTCATATCCAGCGTGCATAAAACGATATTTTTCTCTTCAAACAAACAGATAGTAGAGCACCAGTCAACCCCCAGATGCCTGAATACAAGCAATTGCATAAAACGATATTTTTCCCTTGAAACAAACAGATTGTAGAGCACAAGTCAACCCCCAGATGCCTGCATACAAGCAATTGCATGGACGGAGGAAGCTCAGACACATTATACAAACGTTTTTCTACTACTCATTCGAGTAACAGTATCCAGCCTTCCAGGCTTTCCAGAATAGCTAACAAGTTCATAACTAATGCAAAAGATTAAAGGTAGCAATGGAGCACAGCTGGAAACTAAAATGGAAGTCTGCGAACTCTCGTCTACCACAATGTGCATATCCATTGCAAATGCAAGCCTCTCATCTCAGAGGAAATTTAAGGTGAAATTTTCAGCACAGGAAGATGGAGCACATCGATCACTTGCCATCAGCGATAGAGCATGCTTGGGTACACCCAGAAGGGCTGCAGTTGGATGTACCAGTTCCTCTTGAACACAAGGTCATCAGGGTCATTGTTTGGATCCCACGCAGCATCTGCATCATCACCAAGCCCATGCAACACCAAGGGTGGATCGTAATACCCATAGTACAAGCAATTGCTCCTCCCACTCCATCGTCCTAAGCTGGCGCAAGAAAACGCCGGGCTCCTCACATCACTCCCAATAAACACTAACTCTCTATCTTCTTCACCTCCACCCAAGCTGCAGGCACAGTTGACATGTCGAGGCGGAAGGGTTTGTAATTGACAGGTGCTCCATCGAACGAAAGGCTTATGTAATGGTCGACCATCAGGAGCATGTCACCACACACCACGATCCATGGCCTTAGATATGGGCATTCATCCAGGCCATCCCACCACATAGTTGCTATATCTCCTGCAGACCAAGCTGGGGGGCCAAGGACAGATTGTGGAGCCTATAGTGGTAGTCCATCGCGATGAACTGACCATTGAACTCCACAATCTGTTCAATCCGTGAATCATTGAACTGTAATTTTGACCAAGAATCACTTCCAATCAGCCAATCAAGCAAGAAGCACTGACCGCCCTGTTTGGATGCTGCGCAAACTAGGAGGTGTGAGTTTGGCGATGCAAGGGGAGCTGTCAGCATGCCAGAGTAGAAATAAGTGTTGTTGCCAAATGGGAGCTGTGGAGGTAAAACTTTGGCACCAGTGAACACATCCACGATAAGACAACTTCTGCCGCGACCGCAAATTAGCTGCCCATAGGAAGAGCCAGCAAAAGTGCAACTTCTCAAATGTCTCTTCAGGAATCCGGCAGCGAAGGGTACTTTTCATGTTGGCTGGATCAAGAACCTGACACGTGCAGAGCTCGTGCCCATCATCACTTTTGGAAGGTAGATTAGGAGCACGGACGCTGATATGGGGCCGGACGAGGAGAGGCGGGAGCAAGGTGCAAAATGTGGATTTAGATGGGTACGAGCCGAAAATGGTGCGCCAAGAGTGGCAGGTGCCAGCAAAGGCGAGGAGCTCAAGGAAGGAGCCCAACAGAGGAATGATGGAATGGAGCAGACCTTCTGGGAGATCTGCCCACCCTTGGAAGTCCATACACAGCAGGGTTTGTAGTGGAGGCAGAGGCGCCAACGATTTTGCTAGGGCTTTGCATGATGTCAGACTCTCTACAACCAAGTAAAAAAATAGAACAAGTTAGAACTGAATCAGAAATGAAAAATACACAGTAAACTTGCTAGAGACTTAGGTAACATGCAAACATTTTAATCTTTATGTGTTGTCCAGTACAGATCTGAAGCCAGTTGTAGGCAAGGAATTGTCAAGTTGTTATACACTGCTACAGACAAGGAATTCTATGCGCTGGGTGAACCCTTATGTTCAGGCTAAGACAGATCGAAAAAATAGAGTTTTTAAGTCTTGCTTGAATTCAAACTTTTCTTCAAAACTACCTAAACCCATATCTATTTACAGAACATAATATTTAGGATGACCTACACATTAGTGAAGCATGAAACAACAAAGGTGAAATCTATGACAAAAATGACCAATTATGTGCTGCCATTCACAGATCAACCATGACATATATCATGAGCTGAACCCCCACCTAACATGTGGCCCTGTTCGGCTGGCTGGAAAAACGGCTGATGCTGATGCTGATACTGATTTGTTGTGAGAGAAAAATACTATTATTTTGCTGAAACGGTACGACTGATAAGTTCAAGCGAACAGGGCCATAAATTGGGGTCTTTTATCATAGCCATGTGCGGCGTGGGCAACATCTTCTTGAAAATACCTGATCAATGAGAAGTCCATCTATTCCAGGGTACAGCAGAAGCAGAAGCAGAATCCAGTGGAAACAAGATACTAATGAAATTTCTTTGCTTGGTTTGGATTAAGAAATCAGAGCACTGAAGAAAAGACACAAATGTGCCGAATGAATTAAAAAGAAACTGGGAACTAGGTGCCAGAGCAAGCCTTTCTACTACCTACTAGATATTATCCTACAGGCATCTGAAATCACAAAATTTGACGTAACACAGAGAGGAATTTTTTTGTTCTCCAGATTAAAGGCTCCCAGTTCTACTTCCAACTTGCCTAGTCTGCACAAATGCCACATGAGTGAAAGAAAAGATGCAACGTTTGTTCAAATGGCATAATAAATACGCCGAATTTAAGGAGAGCAGAGCCCTAACATCAGGATATAAAGTGGACTACATCAATGATGATCCATAGTCAAGCCTGATGATGGCTGCTAAAACACCTAGCCGCTACAAGGAAAACTACTAAATTTACTGACAGCAATGATAAGAATTAGAATCCGAAACAAAATTAGAAACACTAGTGCGCTGATACTGCTCATTTTCAGATTAACCGTGACATACAGAAAAAAAAAAAACTTCTGTTCGAGACATCAAAGCCGTGTCTTATATAGTTTTATTGTATCCACATTAGCCGTGGGGCATAATCCCATTCAAAATCTACTCGATCAGGTAGGGTCTATCGATCTAGGGTTCTTCCATGACTCGTACATCTTACAATCAAACCAAAATCCAATCGAAACCTAAACGTAGCATCTCGATTCAAGATAAAACCACAACAACAAGGAACAAACGCGTGAGGCAATTTCTCAGATCGGTTCATGAAACCCATAGGCCTAAGGAGCAGGCACACATATGAGCGAAATGAACTGAGAAAGAGAGAGAGAGAGAGAGAGAGAGAGAGAGAAGGAAACTCGTGTTAAGGTTGAGGACTTGCTTAAGAAGAAGGCGTCGATCAGCGACGACGGCGCCGCGGCTGGTGCCGGCGCCTTCGCCTGCGATGACAGTGTCGCTTCCAGAAGCGCCGCTTCTCCTGCTTCTTCGCTCCCTCTGCTGTGTGGTAGACTGGTAGTAGTATGCTCTACGTTGTGGGCCAAATTTAGGCTTTGTGAACCAGGGCTGTACTAGGCCCAAACGAAGCTTACAAGTGGCCCAACAGCTACTTGTCTCGTTGAAATTTCGGAATTTCCAAAGAACATCCGGCTATGATTTTGTGATTATGATTTCTGTCGATTTTTGTAGCGAATTGATCTGCTATAGAATTCTTACTATCCATCCGTCATACTGATACGGTTCAGCTGTTGAAAACTTCTCCCCGTTCCTTTGCCCCATAGCCCCTCTTTATTCTCGAATGGGAAAAATTCTTTTCGCCCCCAAACCCAGCATTTTCACAAAGTCTGATTTTCCTCCCTCGTACGTAAAGGTGGATTTTTGTCCTCCTTTGTGACTTTTAAAACTATTTTTTTAGAACTAAGCCTAGCTTATATGATTAGGTTCCTTGGTGGAACTCCACCCAGTTCAAGTGATTACGCCCTTTATTCCATGTTTAATGGTGTTTGTACTTTCAAATGGTAACGATGTTCTGCCCGCTGTGGTAACCCGTGTTCAAGTCTTCAACTTGCTCATAGGGGTAGGTTATGTGTCGTTTATGTTTTCCTTTGTTTTTTATAGATTTATTCCATGATTTAATGGTGTTTGTGCTTTTAGTTAGTACGATAGGTAGGTGCTTGAAGTTTGCGGTGGGGTTACAAACGAGAAGGAGAAAGATGGGGGTACAAGGTGCAGTGGGACTCTGGTGCGAAGGGCCGAGTGACTCAGAGCTCCGCGTATGTGCTAAGTGTTTGAGTGTGTGCTCGAGGTTTGAACTCGCGACTGTTGTGATAGATGAAGGGATGGCCTTACAAGTGAGAGATGTGTCGATTGTATAGTCTTTCGGATGTGGGAGGTTGCTCTTCTTTTGGTAGGCTTGGTGTGCCATTTGTGATGCCCGTGTATTTTTTATGTGTGTAATTCACAAAAAAAGAACTGTTTGTTTTTATTAGGATATAGAGAATAGAATTCGACATGCTAGGGAAGGTTGTAGGATCTTTCTGCATTCGTTCCTCGGTTTCGTTAACTTGAGTGCCCGCCTTACTTTTTTCCGTCTGCTTCTGGTCCTCACCGAGCGGGACTTTTTCGATTTATCCATTTTGCCATGTATCTAGACATATTATTATATCTAGATGCATAGCAAAATTGGATGTACTAAAAATGTCGTTTAAAGCGCCCAGAGTTACGTTGCTGTTTAATTGTAAACGGATGAGGAGTATATGAACCCGATGAATAAAGAATAGAAAAGTATTATATCCTTCGTTTCTAAATTATAATGGAATTGACATAATAATTCATTCATTTTGATACCAAAATATTATTATATCTATATGCATTGAAAATTGATGTACTTAAAATATAATTTGGAACGGGAAGCAAAAAAAGGGGATTTTATTTTGTAAAATTTTTACCTCTTTCCATTCTCATCAACAACTTTCTATCCTTCTAATCGAACTTGAAATTGGATTAAAAAAAAGCTATTGTAAAAATAAAAGAAATACCTCTTTCATAATACCCTTTAATAATTTAAAAAGTAGAAGTGGGCGGTTTAGACTACGACTTTATATGATGTGACGCCTCTTCAAATCACACGCTAGGCCTAATTTTGCACACCAAGGAAGAAAAGATAACACATAAACTTCCATTATGTGAAACACAGGGAAAATAATTTTCCTGACAATTCGTTCGACACATCGGCAAATAACTCATTTTTCTGTTCTGAGTTCTGAGTTGGATGAGTAGCGAGCAGCTGATCGCCGACAGTTGAAAGATGGCGGTGTGGCGGTGAAGTCCTCCTCAGGCAGTCCAGCACCGCCTTGGAGCTTGATGACTCGTCTCTAGGCCGCTGCGTATGCGTTTCAACATCCTAGACCATGTGAACAGATTAGAGGTCTCTCAACAAAAAATGTAAAGTAATTTTAAGAGCTACCATCTCTGTTCCAAAAGGCACGGTGATTTTAGTTTTGTGCTAAATTCATTTTTCACATTTTCAATGGAATTGTTTCAGGATTTAAGTCAATTTCAAAATCCGTCAGCTCAATCGTTAAGTCAATGCTCATAGGGTAGGGTTGTTCACAGGGGTATCTTGACTATTTCTTCCAAATTCATTTTCTGTCGTTTGTAACTGTCAAAATCTATGCCCTGAAATCAATGAAACGAAAGTGGCTGAAGACAATACTTATACACATTTGGATTTCTGCTTCATGTCCAGCGTGCATAAGACCACCTTTATTTTCCCTTCAGACAAACAGATTGCGTAGCATAGCAAACAAAGGACAAGTCAGCAACCACATGCCTGCATGGCTGCATACATACAAACAATTGCATCTTCACATTTTGCATGGACAGAGGAAACTCAGACACATTAGAAACGATTCTCTACTACTCATTAAAATAACAGTATCCAGCCTTCGAGGCTTTCCAGAATAGCTAACAAGTTCATAAGTAATAACTAGTGCAAAAGATTACAAGTAGCAACGGGACACAACTGGTAACTGAATGGAAACTGCAAGTCTAAGAACTCTCATCTACCGTAATGTCCATTATCCATTGTTAATGTTCTCTAAGGAAATTTGAGGTGAAGTTTCAGCACAAGCAGATGGAGTTCATCGATCACTTGCCATCAGCGGTAAAGCATACTTGGGTACACCCAGAAGACCTGCAGTTGGCAGTACCAGTTCCTCTTGAACTCAGGGTAATCATCGTTGTCTGGATTCCACACAGCATCTGCATCATCTCCAAGCCCATGCAACACCAAGGGTGGATCATAATACCCGTAGTACAAGCAGTTGCTCCTCCCGCTCCATCGTCCAAAGCTGGCGCAAGAAAACACAGGGCTCCTCACATCGCACCCAATAAAAAGAGAGTAATTCTCTAGCTTCTTCACCTCCACCCAAGCTGCAGGCACAGTTGACATGTTGAGGCGATAGGCTTTGTACTCGACAGGTGCTCCAGCTAACGAAAGGGTTATGCAATGGTCGACCATCAGGAGCATGTCACCACACACCACGATCCATGGCCTTAGATATGGGCAGCATTCATCATTGCCATCCCACCACACAGTTGCTATCTTCTGCAGACCAAGCTGAGGGGCCAAGGACAGATTGTAGAGCTTGTAGTAGTAGTCCATTGTGATGAACTCGCCATTGAACTCCACAATCTGCTCAATCCGTGAATCATCGAGCCGAAGTTTTGACCAAGAATCACTTCCAATCAGCCAATCAAGCAGGAAGCACTGACCGCCCTGTTTCGATGATGCGCAAAGTAGGAGGTGTGAGTTTGGTGATGCGACGGGAGCTGTCAGCATGCCAGAGTAGAAACAAGTGTTGTCGCCAAATGGGAGCTGTGGAGGTAAAACTTTGGCACCAGTGAACACATCCACGATAAGACAATTTCTGCCACGGCCACAAATCAGCTACCCATAGGAAGAGCCAGCAAATTGCAACTTCTGAAATGTCTCTTCAGGAATCTGGCAGTGAAGGGTACTTTTCAAGTTGGATGGATCAAGGACCTGGCACGTGCGGAGCTCGTGACCATCATCGCTTCTAGAAGGGAGATTAGCAGCACAGACTTTGATATGGGGCAGGATGAGGAGAGGCGGGAGCAAGGTGCAGAATGTGGATTTAGATGGGTATGAGGCGAAAGCAGCACGCCAAGAGCGGCAGGTGCCAGCAAAAGCGTGGAGCTCAAGGAAGGAGCTCAACAGAGGAATGATAGAATGGAGTAGACCTTCTGGGAGATCTGCCCACCCTTCAAGTCCATACACAGCAGGGGACATACTGGAGGCAGAGGCACGGATCATTTTGCTAGGGCCTTGCATGATGTCAGACTATCTGCAAGAAAGTAAAAACAAATGAGCAAGTTAGAACTGAATCAAAAATGGAAAATAGACAGTTAACTTGCTAGAGAGATTTGGCAACTGCAAACATTTTAGTATATATGTGTTGCACAGTACAGATCTGAAGTCACTTGTTAAGTAGCTATACACTGTTACAAACAAGGAATTCTATGCGCTGGGTAAATCCTAATTTTCTAGCTAAGACAGATGGACAATGGAAAACACACTTTTTATGCAAGTGTTGTTTCAATTCAAAACCTTTCTTCAAAACAGCCTAAACCCATCTCGAATTTCAGGACATGATATTTATTATTTAGGATGATCTGCAGCACACATCAGTGAAGCATGAAACAAAGGTGAAAAGTGTGGGAAAAATGCCCAATTATTATGCACTGAAATACAATTCCATGTACTGTTCGCAAATCAACCATGGCATGCAGAAAATATTTCAATATCCTGGGTTGAACCCTCCAACTAAGATAAAAGTGGATTCTTTGACCATAGCCATGTTACTGTTAGTCATGGGGCATACATCCTTTTGGATCTTCTTGATCAATGAGGTCCATCTGTTATAGGGTTCATCAGAACTCAGAGGATGATTATGCTGACGAAATTCCGTTGCTTAGTTTGGATTAAGAAACCAAAGCACTGAAGGACAGGCACAGATGTGCCAATTGAACCAAGTAAAAAAGAAAACTGGGAACTACAGAGCGAGACTGCACTGGCAACTAGATATTAGCCTATAGGCATCTGAAATCGCAGAATTGGAATGGTATGTAACACACAGAAGAAATAATTTGTTCGAATGGCATAAATGCACAACAAAGTGCCAAAATGAGTACAATAAGCAATTTTGTGCTTCAGAGTTTAAGGAGAGCAGAGCCCTAACAAGCCCTAACATCAGTTTTTAAAGTGGACTACAACAATAATCCAAAGTAAACTATATCAACGATAATACAAAGTAAGCATAATGCAGGCTGCTAAAACACCTAGTTGTTCCATGGAAAACGTACTACAAGACCAGATTTTTACCAATAATTAATAATGATAAGAATTAGAGCCTTAATAAAAAATAGACCACACAAAGATTGAAACTTCTATCCACTGTACCCACATTTTCCCGTTCATTAATAAATCTATTCATTCAGGTCTATCGACACTAGGGTTTTCCCGTTCCGTACATCTTATAATCACACCAAAATCCAATGCAAACCTAATCTAAATAGCTCGGTTCAAGATCACATCACAGCAACAAACACGCGAAGCAATTTATCGGCTTGGTTGGTTCAACAAACCGAAGTACTAAGGAGGAGACAGGAATACAGGATGCATGGATGAACCAAGCAAAAAGAATAAAAAAAATCGGGAAGAGGGAGTGAAAGTGCTGGCCTTGCCTAGGAAGCAGGCGCCGATCGGTGACGTCGGTGCCGGCGCCTTCGCCGGCAGCGGCGAGATCGCTTTCCCTTTCTCGTCTTCCCACTCTGCCGCTTTCCAGTTCCGCTCGCCTCTGCGGCTCTGCTCTATGCTCTTTTATGCGCCAAAATTGGGCCTTGTGGGCCAGGGCCGTAGAGACTATTGGATGTTTGGGCCAAAATGATGAACCTTACAACTGGCCTAACAATTTCTTCCAATTTCAGAATTTTGCCCTCATTTGTTTTGAGCGACTATACAATTATTTCCTATCCAAAATAAAAAATTGTGACTCGCATTTGAGTGTTAAAATTGAACATCAGTTATTGTTTTACTGGAATATAAATTTGTTCACGTCAATTCCAGTTCCACATTCTTCTGTTTGGTAACCATTACGAATTATATCTTCACTCCTTTTTTCCCCTCACAGTATAGTTTGATTCTTGCAGACATACACATTTCATTCCCAATCTGAATTCCAGAATTCCAAAAAAAAAAACATAATGTAAACAGCTCGGTTCAAAAGCTAAAAGAATAGACAGAAAGCTGATCCTGAGACCAGAGTACACAGAGTGGGTTTCCCCTTCATATTCCAAAAGCATACACCAACATTTTCTTCAGACACACACTATTTAAATGCAGATAGAATGTTACCAACACCTCATTCAAATAGGGAAAAGGAGCGTTCAAACCAGGGCACCACTCTCAACGAGAAAAGTGACTTATTTCAACTACTAAGGCCTTGTTTTGGATGCACATGTATTCATCTCAATCCACATGTGTCGAGGTGGATTGGATTGAAATTAAACTAAGTTCCATTTCATTCCACTCCAACACATAATACACATGTATCCAAACAAGGCCTAAGTAAGTGCTAGTACCATAGTGACATCATCTATTCGAATGCAGAAGTCTTCCTACCAGCAACATAGGGCAGGCACAGATCACTGTCCATCTAAGTAGAACATGCTCAGGTACACCCAGAATGGCTGAAGCTTGAGGCACAGGCCCCTGCTGTGCACAAGGTCAGGGTCAGTGGAATCATCCCAAACTGCATCTGCATCATCACCCATCCCATGCAAGACCCAGAGTTGACTGTAATGGGCATAGTACAGACAGTTGCTTCTCCCGCCCCATCGTCCTAGGCTCATGCAAGAGAATGCCGGGCTCCTCACATCATGCCCCATAAAGAGGGCATCATTCTCCAGCTTCACCACCTCCACCCAAGTTGCAGGTTCAATGGACATGTCCAGGCAGTAGGCTTTGTAGTTGACAGGTGCTCCAAATGATGCAAGGCTCCAGCTGTAGTGAAAAATTAGAAGCATGCCGTTACATACCACCAGCGATGGCTGTGTATATGGGTATCCATGCATGTCGTCCAACCATACAGTTGCTATCTCCTGCAGACCAAGCTGGGGGCCAAGGACAGAGTGTAGAGCCTGTAGTAGCTGTCCATCGTGATGAACTGACCATTGAACTCAACAATCTGCTCGATCAGTGAATTACCGAGCTGTATTTCCGACCAAGAATCACTTCCATCTGACCAGTCAAGAAGGGAGACCGGAAGGTTGTGCTGGCTGGAAACTACACAGATAAGGAGGTGCGAATTTTGCAATGCAAGAGGAGCTGTCAGCATGCCAGAGTAGAAAAAAGGTCATAGTTAAGTGGGAGCGGCGGTGCCTAAACTCTGGCCCCAGCGAACACATCGACAATGAGGCAATCTTTGCGAAGGGCACATATCAGCTGACCATAAGAGGAGCTGGCGAAATGCATTGCCTTACATATTTCTTGAGGAATCTGGCAACAAAGATCCGTTTTTGGATTGGCTAGATCAATGACCTGCCATCTGCGCAGCTCGTGACCATCAGGTGCACGCACGGGGATATTTGGCCTAACGAGGAGAGGTGGGAGCAAGGCAAAGAACCTGGATTTGGATGGGTACGATGAGAAAGCAGCACGCCAAGAACAACAGGTGCTCACGAAGGCAAGGAGGTCAATCAACCTGTTCGCTTGTTGGTTTCAGTCAGGGCTTATCAGCCATGATACAGTGTTTTCCTCTCACAACAAACCAGCACCAGCCCGGTTTATTAGCCCAGAAATCAACCAACGAACAGGCTGAATGAAGAAGCCCAGGAGGGCAACAATAGACTCGAGCAGGCCTCGCCTCCAGGGAGATCAGCCCACCCTTGAATCCCACATGTAGCAGGGGCTGTTTCTATGGAGGCAGAGGTGCCAGATATTGTGAATTGTGATAGGGCTTTGCATGATGGCAGACTCACCGCAACAAAGTAAATTCAATAAATAAATTAGAGGCATGAATTGAATACAAAATGAGAAATAGGCAGATAACTTCCAAGAGACAAAGACACCCTACAATAGCAGTGGAAATTAACCAATTAACCATACAGACTAGAGACAAGATCCCACCACAAAACAAAAACTCGAGACACGGGAGGAGAGACGTCGCCACGGTGTTTCATTAAGAAGATGAATTTATCACGCAGCTCGAGAAAATCCCCGAACCCCGGCCCCACCCATATACAACGGCACCTGCATCCCCATGAGATGGGACGGCCATAGACCTGTACTTTGGTGTGGGACAGACGAGGAGATTTTTTTTACCCTCAAGCCTGAAATTCATCCTCGTGGGGAATCGAACTCAGGACCTGAGGTGCCGCCGGAGCATCTAACCAGTTAGGCTAGAGGACCTTTGGCAGATCCCACCACAAAACAACTGCATGACACAATTTGTTGGCCTGATTCGAGTCGAGAAGAGAATGGTCGTGCAAAATGAACAGAGTAAAAAAGAATGTAGGGATTAGGTGCCAGAGAGAGTTTCTATACTCACGGCTTGATATTAGCTTTGCCATATGCCCACATGTATCCTGAAACAATATACACTGATACAAATTAGAATTTGGATGGTGTGCGCAGAAGGTTGTTTAATGGCCCCCAATTCAACTACCTAATTTTCTGGTGTCGGGTTCATAAACCCAGGGTCCCCGATGGGCCGGCTTCTCAGCAAAAGCTCGGCCCAGCAGACGGCATTACAACAACACGCGACTCCTGGGCCGGCCTAGATACCTAACGATAGGCTGGAAGAGCTATCCAGTCTCCGACCGGAAGGCCTGGCCAAGGAGGGGACAACACTCGCTTCCGACTCTGACCTGCTTTTCCGATCTGGAATACGCCGAACCTCTGCTTACAGCTCTTCTCCGACCGACGCGGTCGGAGCCGACTGGGAACGACCGATCGGAGACGCCCACTCGGTGAGGACCTAAGAATCAGGCGGAGCAAATAAGGCAAGGAGCTCAAGTCAACCGCAATACCGAGCACCGTACCCTGCACACTTGCAGGATAGTACCGCTAGGCCATGCTAGAAGGGAGCTATGCAACCTTTCAGACATGTTAGAAAACAAACAGTGTTGTAGGCGCCCACATTTGCCTTACAGTGTTGTGGGCGCCATCATTTGCCATACCAGGCGAACACGGTAAAGCCTGCCACATGCGTCTGACATAAACAGTATTGTGGGCGGCAACGACTGTCTTGTACCCAACAGCGTGGGCAACAA